CTATTTTAAATAGTACTATGCATTATGTTTATGGTGGTAATATATTTTGTTGTCGCTCAATTTGTGTCATGATTTTAGGTTGCAATTCTAAGAGGTTCTAGTGATACTTGAGAAAATAATAGTGAAACTTTTTAACTGTAAAACATTTAAGAACAACCTATGTGACTTATATTGAATTGGAACAAAAGGAACTTACAAACTAAAATCTTATAACTTAATTGATAAGTTGATATTATACTTGTAAAGTTATAAATAACTGATTAAGATTCAAAATTAACATCTACTTGATAGGAACTCATGCTCTATATGTGATTTTGAATCCTTTAAAGAGACGTAAAAAGATCTGTTTTAAAATGTCGTTTTTTATATTAATATTCAATAAACTATTTTATTAATCTTCAATAGGCTACTGCTTTAAACAATGCAATATTTTTGTGGTGGTACTATGTTGTGCTGCTCTCTCAACTTGTGTCATAAATTTAGGTGTCAACTCTAAAAAAGTTTATACTTTTTAAGTCATTTACATATAATATTAATAACAATAATGAAACAAATTTCAACAAAGTCAAAAGATTTTTAATTAAAATATGCCTTTAGGGCAATATGTTATATTTGTAGGGGTATTATATTGTACTGTACTCTTAACTTGTGTCATGAGTTTAGATGTTAACTGTAAGGGTGTGGTTTCTATAGAGCCAAGACTATAAACAATCAAAGTAAAACGTACCTTCAAATAGTATCGAGAAATGTGGTTTCAATACTGGAAATCTTTGTGATAGCCTTAAAATTATTTTCATCTCTAATTGTAAAATTTAAAGATAAAAAATTAGTGTGGATCGAGCAGATCTATGAAAACTTAAAAACATTGAAAATTGACGGTCTAAAAATACATTACAAGATTTACTATTTCCAAAACTTGAAATCCATTTTTTTCTCATGTCCATGCTTTTTGTCATCGAAATGATCAATTTGAGGATATCTGGGCCCCAAAACAACATCTTCTAGTTAAAGTTTTGGGGTGCACTCTAATTTGATTGTTTAGAGCCTCACACTAATAAACTATTTCTTTTTTTTGAAAGGTATGGTTTGCATAAAATCAAAGAGTAACGATCCTACGAGATCCTCTCACACCCATGTATTTAGGACCCCAAAAGATCACTATTAAATTTGACACATATCTCTAGAAAAGTCAAGTCCCACACCATGTAATAACTTTTCTAGAGATATGTGCCAAATATAATGGTGATTCTTTAAGGTCCTACACACATGGGTGTGGGAGAGTCTCATAGGATCATTACTCAAAATCTAATTATGCACCTCCAAAATTCATCGTAAGATGCAATTTTGGTGCCAGAAAATCATTAGAATGGTGTGATAATATATTTTTATCTATAGTTTTTAAATTTTATACTCCAAAAATGGTTCAAATCAAACGAATCTTTAAAGTTATGAACATCCAAAAAATGGATGGTTTAAATAATATGTTGCCAAATGTACCATTTTTAAAACTTGAAATTTCTATTTTTTTCTTCACATGTATACATCTCAATGTTGAGATGTTCAACTAGATATTTTTTCAACATCTCAATTTTGAGATGATCAATTAGATATTTTTTTAACATCAAGACAACATTTTTTAGAATATTTTAAAGGTGCACCTTAACTCTACATTTTCAAGTGTCAACCTAAGATCAATTTTTACCTTTTTTTAAAAAGAGGGCTATCAGTAAAACCATCATCCGATAAGTGGGGTTAAACTTATCCAAACATTAAGCATAATATAATTTTGTACATTCAAAGGATATTCAATTCCCGCTGCTAAAAATGAAGGTATCCAAACAGAGCCTTATTCCACTTAGATGACATTTCATGGTGGTGATTAGAGAGGACAATTCCTATCTTCAATAGAGATTGGTTTATGAACATATATTGGAAAGTCTACTATGATCCCATATGGCCATGGCAACATTTCTTTCATAGGGGTTACCACCATGTAATGATTGGGTCGATTCAGGGAGAGTAGGATGTACAACTGAATTAATCAGATGTTTGGAGGACAAAACTGTTGCCATGATCGTATGGGCAATAGTATAAATTTCCTACATAGATTTGTTTTATTTTAGGAAAAAGACATGTTAAGTCTATTTTGATGCATTACAATATAGAACTTCAATCAGAGAGAAAATGGGATGTACCCAACACATTTGAAAATTCTTAGGGCTATGATGGATGCTTTCTTATATGGTGGAAAATGGAGCATGAAGACATGCTTACCTAACTTAATGGAAACACGGAAGCCATTGAAGAATGTCAAAGTGGCAAACCTGAGAGGTTCAAGGTTTGATGCAAATTGAGACATCAACTGAAGACCTGCATTGCTTTTGTAGTGCACACGCAAGTTTGTAAAAGGTTTAAGGTGGGGAGAGAACGACGACAATTTAAAGGTGGAGAAGGTAAAAGGGCCCAACTAGTGAAGGTCACAGACGGGGTCACTGCGATTTTTCCAAAACTTCCAACACGAGCAGCACAGTACAAATCAAGATGTTCATGGGTGCCTTCAAGTAATTTTAACTAACCAGTCAGTTATGGCATACACTGTAGGAAATCAGATGTAAATTACATATTGAGAGTGGCTCAGTGGATGTTCAACTAATCCTGCTTTCTCGACCTATACAGCTATTCATAACTATCTCAATGTTCTTCATAGGTCAAGGATTCCCTTCACAAATGAGGCTCATGTGAACCTATGCAGAATAAAGGGTCAGAAATCCATGTCACATTCAAAGGCTAACCACACGAATGGTAGGGGAAATACGGGGCCTCAAAAGTAAAGGCCTGACTCTTTGAGATCTTCAATGGCCAATGTCTAAGTAAAAATGTAAATTATATCGTTTTATTCCCCTATAAAGTCACTAACCCATAAAATAGGTAACACATTGCCCATAAAACAGAAGGCAACTCTGAAGACAAACCCATGGTCTAAGTTTGTGTCTCTTGCAAGGTGACCCGATGGAAAACCCAGCCATAGAACTACCGAGAGTCTCCCTTTTGCACAGGAACCTAGCTGAAAATATGACTCCATTTAACATATACTAAAATACTGAAAATTTAGCCATTTCTTTGGAAACCAAGCTTGCTATCCCTCAACGAACACATTTCAAATGCAACCTCATAACAAGCAATACACAAAAATAATGTTTTTTAGCCACAAAATCCAAGATGTTATACCTTGGGTATATATTTCCTTCTTTCCATATTAATATATCCAGACGCAGCCCAATCCACTAATAATGCAGAGAACAATCATGCCTCGAGTGCTTTAAATGTTACAAATTGTGACACACTAAACTTTTCCTCAATATAATTCACAGTAAGCATTCCTTGAATCCCTTCTCTAAAGCCTTGGCATCCAGATTTTTGCCTATGAATACAATTTTATTGATCCTCTTCTCGTCTGGTCCCCATAACCTCTCAGGGGAACCCTGGAATATATCATGCACACCCTGTTCCATGGTAGGATTAGATGAGAATAAGGCAAACGATTAGAAAGTTCCACTGCTAGTAGCTAAAAATGGGTATGAAAGATATATCACTCAGCTCAACAGTCACACAAAATAAATGATGGCTGATACTATTAAGATGATACTTACACTTTGACATAGCTATTGCACCACCACACAGCAAATAAAAATAGCTACAACTATAGTTTTCTAATTCTAAATATTGACTAGCTGAAAAGGAAGTGCTAACCTGAAAGACGAATCTCTCATTCATGCCACTAACAGAAAGGAGACCTTTCATACGGTATATGTCATCGCTACGATCCATCAATAATGTCCCCAACCACATGTTAGCCTGCGAATGACAAAGGAAAACAATTCAGAAATTTTTCATTGAATGTATAAATTCGTCCCAAATGAGAAACAAAATCGTGGCAGCAGAGTTTGGTCTCCACCACGACAATAGTATACAACAATTAACTTGAAGCAAAAGACAATAGAAACTAGAAAAGAACTTTCAAATGAAAAAAGAACAAGAGGTTCAAGGCAATAAATAAATCCCAGTAACAGCTCAATAACAGAACTTTTAGGCATAAAAGTTAGTCAAGTAAATAAGTCTAGAGAGTTCAAATGGATCATGGGAAAAAGGTGAGGATCAACAATTTTCCCTCGCATTCAGAGCATAAATTAGAGTCACGTGGAAATCAATTCAACAATCAAATAATAAGAAAACAGAAACGAAACAAGTGCAATAAATGAATGATTTTCCATGCACAATTAAAAAACAAACCTTATCAAGATCAAGGTTCCCGTCACAAACTATACTGACAGAGGAAACACCTGGGTCATGCATATGATCATGGGCATGGCCATGCCCATGATGTTCTGAAAAGGCAAAGTAGACTAAGTTAAACACGTTGCTTTGAAAAGTTAATAGAACAGTCACAATAAAGGCAGGAAATAACTGATACATATGCAGGAAATGGGCAAATTTACAAAGCACTTGTTGAACAAAAAAGAAGAAGTTAAGAACACTCAATTTAGAAAGAAAATACATTCCAAGTCCTATGGGAAGGCACTTATCAGATTGATCACAACCAAAAACTTGAAAAATCATGTCCAATAGGTCAAAAATTCCGAGCAAACTTCATTAGCCATTGAAGCATCCTAGAAGATTTGGAGGGGAGCCTCCAGGAAGTGTAAATTATAATGGGAGTACTATTCTTAGTAGAAGACAACTGTAAAGGGAAACCACCAAAGCTATTAGAAAGCTAGGAAGGAAGCAGACCTTGCCATCTTGCAATTCCCCAAGAGGACAGAACTTCCCAAATTGTAAGTTCTGAAAGACTTTTTGGCCTGCATAAAATCCAAGATAATAACTCTTTTGTGACACCACTTCGTCCGGGGACACTAATAGATGTTGGCACATGTGGCCTCAGGTTGCCTTACCTATTTCTATGGACCTCAATTATTTTTATAGGAGGAATTCCATGTCTGCTTATCCATTTATAAATAAGTTTTGTTAAATGTAATACAAACATATAAAGAGCATATTTTCTCAAGGATATTTTCAATGTTCACATGGATAAAAATCCCTGAAATCAGGGAATCAGTTTCCTCACCGTTGGAGAAAAAGGAATGTCGGCTCATCTTCCACCAGACACAACAAATACACGACAAAATTACAGAGCCTCCAGAAAGCTTTTCTACTATCTCTATATTGGGTTCCTAATTAAATCCGGGATCTGCGATCACCAGCCTCAAGGCACACCCTCTCTAACCTCGGGCTTTTGGCATTCATCCTCACTCCATAGTCTTTTACTTTCACTGGTATCAGAGCAACATCCAGGTTTTATCTTACTTATATCCTAGGAATTTGTTTTTGACATTAACCATCTCTCTACTGCCTACAAGTGATCACCATTCATGCTTGGATTTTATTTTTTTTGTATACATTATGCTCTAATATTTTTTTTGATATATGCACGACAATTTCTCGTTTATAAATATACTGCTACCTTCATTGTAACTCACCGCATTTATTAAAAGTGAGGGCTCACCTTATAAAATTGTCCTTTCTTCAATTCTTCAACCACTTGCCTTTTGACTTTTCAACAAGGGGGTTTTTCCCATCCAAGAATACAAAACAGTGATTACTGTAAAGGCTTGATTCCACCTCTTGGACAGCAACGTCATTGAAGGCAATAAGAACTTTCACTTCTTCTTTTTTTTGTTCATTTCAGCACTACCCAAAGGCACATATTTGTCCTTGATCCATCAAATGTTCTTTACTCTCTTTGTATACAATTCATGCATCAATAAAACCCAACTGTCCATAGGCTACTGTTTCCATCGATTCTTTTTCTTCTCACTTGAAGGCTGCTTTGGTTTCTTCTGTTAATATTTCTTTGTTTCTGCTAGTTGGTAACAAAATATTCAGTTCACTCATTATTAGCATATATATCTTAACTTAAGGGATTGTTATTACATAGTGATATTGATAAAAACGATGGAAGGATAAAATATTTTAGATTTAATATTCCAAGGCAGACTTTTTTTTATTACAGAGATACCTTCACTGAATTTATATCACCTCTCAGAATATATCTATATATATATATATATATAGGAAAGTATAGAATGAGACCATTTACCTTTGATACAAGGTGGGGACAATAATCATGACCATTGTATATGAAATTGAGTGGCTGCCATTATTCATTGACCAAGCTCAACTTCAAATTTTCTCAAACTTTTTGACACATTCAAGCTATCAAATTTCACATCAAATGGTTGTAAGGAACTGTGACTACCTTCTATCAAAGGTAACTGGTCTCATTGTATACAATCCCTATATACATTGTGCTATTCTATTGCACTATATATATTTTGCTACTATTTTTTTAAAATAAAAAAAAGGGGAAAAGAGGCTACGGAAAATCATAAAAGACTTATTTTGCTCAATTTTTATTATTGCTGATATTTGAATGCAATTGATGCATTTATTGCCTTGGTGTAATATAGAAATTGATTTGTCTTATATGTCAAACACATAATCGAATTTGCTTATTGATTGTAAAAGCATAAACTCCATCATGGACTGCTGAATTTTGTATTCTTTGTACATGAACATTGCTTATGAAAGTTTAATGTGATATTGATCAATTATATACTTTCCAGCCAAATTTCTTACCATTGCTTTGAACAATTAACTGTCTCCGCAGGCATAAACCACATATTTAATTATTTTGGTGGTTTCTACTTAGTTTCTTAGAACCCATAAATTATTTAGGCTGCTCACACATAACATAGCAAGTCCAATGGCTAGTAGAATTGTAGTGGTTGAACTTTCGAATGGGACCAATTTTGGTACGTGGAAGAGGAAGATGGAATATCTCCTCATCCAAGATAGAATTCCATATGTACTAAGGGATGATCCACCAGTAGTAAATGATAAACGAACTGAAGAAGAAAAGAAAAAAAAATTCTTAGAAGATGACCTCATAGCTAAAATATCAATGTTAACTTTTATGCAAGATGACCTTATTAAGATATTCGAACATTATGAAACATCTAAGAAAATGTAAAATGCAATAAAAGCAAAATATTACTCAACCTTTGAAACTCACCTCCACTTGCTATTAGAGCAACACAATTCATTAAATATGAAGGAAGGTGATAATGAAGTGGAGCATGTAAACAAGATGGTTGTTATGGCTAAGGTCTTAGCCATTGCTAGGAATAAAATTCCCGTGCGCATGCAAGTTTCCACAATCTTAAATAGCATTTCACCTTCATGGAGGATGGTAACAATAGCACTTAGGTTGAATGCCAAATCTTTTACATTAGGGGACCTACCTATGCAACTAGCATTAGAGTAAGAACACATGAACAAAGATAAAAAGAGTGAGCTCATGCTTGCTCAAGGACCTCTCAAATCTAGACAACCCAAGCCTAACAATCAGAAATTTCAAAAAAGTTTAACAAGAGGAACAATAAGTTCAAAAACAGAGGAACTGCCTAAAACCAAGAGGCTGAACAAGGAACGTTAAAATGCTTCATATGTGGTCAACCAGGTCATTTCAAAAACTAAAGCCCACAATAGAAACCTACAAAATCCAAAGCATAGCGGAAATGGAAGCAAGAGACGTGAAGTTGTTTGTGTAGTCTCTAAGTGCCTGCTTGTAGACCACGACGTCAAAGGATGGTGGGTAGACTCAGACGCTAATCGGCATATTGCAAGCTCAAAAGGTGTTTTCAAGGATTTCAAATAAATAAGGCTGGGGAGAAATGCATCTACCTAGGGAACAACACTTATTCTAATGTATTTGATGTAGGATCATGTAGGTTGTATATAGGGGCAATTGATCTTGTATTAATGGATGTATATTTTATCCTTAGTATGAGGCAAAATATTGTATTTGTCCCCTTGTTCATGAGAAAGGGCTTCGAAGTCTACTTCCGATCATTGAAAGTATCAATCGAAAAGCGTAGACAAATTTATGCTTGGGGACACTTGGTTGATGACCATAATTTATTCATTCTTCATGTAAATGAGAAAGATGATAATAAAATTTCTATTGATTCTGGTTACGTTGATTGTGCAATGGTAGTTGATGCATACACTTGGCATCTTAGGCTTTGTCACATAGGATAAAATAAAATAAATAGGTTAATAAAGAAAATTCTGATTTCAAATCTAACTAATGTGGAATTTCCAACATGTCATCATTGCTCTTGTCAGAAAAAATGACTAGGAAATCATTCAATAAAAAGGAGAGAGCAAATGAATTATTGAATGTGGTCCACTCAAAAATTTGTGGGCCTCTCAAAGTTAAAACTCATAGAGGGATGTCATTCTTCATCACTTTTATTGACGATTTTTCTAGATTTGGATATACTTATCTAATCCACCATAAATCAGAAGCCTTAGAACTATTTAAAATATATAAAAAGGAAGCAGAAAACTAATTGGGTAGGAACATCAAAGTTCTTAGAACTGATAGGGGAGGTAAATACAAATCTGAAGCTTTCTACACTTATTGCCAAGAAAATGGTATTAAAAGACATACCACCATGCCTTATAAGCCATAGCAAAATGGCATAGCTGAAAGGTATAATAGAACCCTCTTAGAAATGACTAGATCCATGATGGCTCATGCTTGTCTACCTAAGACCTTTTGAGGAGAAGCAATAAGCACATCCATGTATATTCTTAATAGGGTTCCAACTAAGGCAATAGATTCTACCCCTTATGAATTGTGAACAGATAGAAGATCTAATATAGCAACTTAAAGAAGTAGGGGTCAACAACACATTTTCTAATTCCATATCAGCAGAGAAGTAATTTAGAAAACAAAACTCTAGTTTGCAAGTTTATAGGATACCCTGAAGGTTCAAAGGGCTATAGATTTTATAATAAACATAAGGGACTCGTTCAAAGTAGAGATGTTGAGTTCCTAAAAGATTTTAATGAAGAAAACCTATCTATGATAGATAATCATAATCCACTAAATATTATAAGCGACTTAGAACTATCACCTACAGTTGGATATAGATAACCCTGATCAACATGATGATATTGAAGTAACCACACACCCATGTTAAGTGGTCAAAAAAGGTCTAGAACTCCTCCATCATACCTTGATGATTTCTATGTCTCCATGAGTAAGAAGATAGACAACCTTATTAACCTAGATGAAATCAATTATCCCTTTGACTTCAATGATGCAATGAAGTCACAAGAATGGCTTAATGCCTTGAGAGAAGAATTACATTTTATTAAGAAAAACAAAGTTTGGAATCTATGTCATTTACCACCAGATAGGAAACCTATAGGTTCCAAATGGGTACTTAAAAGGAAGCTAAAATCTGATAGAACAATT